CCAGTGAAGATGGATGGATGGATGGATGCTCCCATGGGAAACAGAAGCTGGGTCCAGAATCAACAGGCCGAAACAGAAACAGATAATTTGCAGCAAATAGCAGAGCGAGCTGCCAGAAAATCCTCCTGAAGTGAAAGGCATGATCCAAGCTTGTTTCAGATCAACAGGGGCCAACAGCGTGATCCGGAATAAAATTAATTATTATCCAAGTGAGTTTGGATGGAGGCCTGAGCAACTCCGATACAAACTCCGAACTTCTCTCAAGCACCACGCAGCCCTGCTCCTTCACGCTGCTCCTCCACGCTGCTCCTCCGCTTCTCTGCACATCACCTCCGCACCCGACAGCACGAGAGGCACCCCCGGTGAAAAACGAGACTGACCAGAGAGGCTGAGGCTGAAGTCGACACTGGTCCGGTCCGATTCTGCTCCAGTCCGGCTCCCGCGCTCCACAGCACGAGAGAGAGAGACGAAGAGGCTGAAGATGTCCCTGGCCCGGTTCTGCTCCGGTCCGGCGCCGCGGTTCTACTCCGGTCCAGAGGCGCTTCAAAGCACCGGCGCATCTCCTCCAGTGAAAACAGCGATTCCACAGAGGTGGACAGTCCTTTGGTAAAAGTAACGGGCTGCTCACTGAAGCTGAGACCGGCTCTGTTGAAGACGAAATCCCCCACAGCCACCTCGGTTCGGTTCTGGTCCAATTCGAGGGTCACAGGTACACTTCCCCCACACCTATGAAGACACCACGAGGGCCAGTCCAGCAGAAAACCAGCGAAATACCACCCGGCGATTTTTGTCGGAACCAGGTAGAATCACAAAGGTCCAGATAAGAGTTCGTTGAGGTCCAGAGAGAAAGAGAGAGAGAGAGAAAACACCAGACCTTCGTGCGACGACTCCCCAGCTCGAGGGGTCACCTGGCCGGCAGGGTGCGCTCAGAGTGACCGGTGGGGTGGGAGCGGCTGGTCCTGGACCAAAATATATTTTTGGACGGTCCCGTCCGGCTCTCTGAGTCACTGAACACCGAATTCGGTTGGAAGGAGGACCAACTTTAGTCCGGTTCGAAAAAAACGGGTCAGTTTGATGATAAAAGACTGCAGAGAAGCCGGAGGGAGCTGCCATCCATGCCGTTAATAAAATTTAATGAGTGAAAAAATAACCGAAACGGTACGCACGTGGACCGAACTGAACATGCTGTGCCAAAATGGTTCACTACACCCACATGTACCGTTACACCTCTAATATATATACAGACCCTTTCCAAAAAATTAGAATATCATGGAAAGTTGTTTAACTTCCATAATTCAATTCAAAAAGTTAATCTTTAATAGATGATAGATTCAGGGCCCACAATTTAAATAATTTCAAGTATTTGTTTATTTTTACATAATTTGGGCTTCCAGCTCATGAAACCCACGAAAACATGATTTCAAAAAATTAGAATACCGTCGAGAAATCAGCCCAAATTTTGCAGGGCATGAATGTTTTAAAACTGAGTGTGACACACTAATCATCTACTAAACTGAAAGCACTTCCACAGGTTTCCCCAGGTGTCATTAAATTGCTTCAGTTTGGTTCGATTGTCTCAGTTTGGTTCAATATGGGGAAGACTGCAGACATAACTGACCAGAAGACCATCATTGATACCCTCCATAGGATGGGTAAGCCACAAAAGTTCATATCTACGGAGACTGGCTGTTCACAGAGTGCTGTGTCCAAGCATATCAATGGAAAGTCTAGTGGAAGGGCAAAATGTGGCAGGAGAAGATGCACCAGCAAAAGAGATGAATGTGGGCTTCAGTAGATTATCAGAGAAGATTCCAGAATCTGGCAGAGATCCAGAAAGAGTGGAACGAGGCGGGAGTCACATCTTCAAAAACCACCACATTCAGACGCATCCGGGAGATGGGCTACAACTGTCAGGTTCCACGGTCTTCTTTTCTGATAAAAGTAAAGTGTGCCTTTCGTTCGGAAATCAAGGTCCAAGGGTTTGGAGGAAGAAGGATGAGGAACAGAACCCATACTGCTTGAGGTCCAGTGTGAAATATCCACAGTCAGTTATGATTTGGAGTGCAATGTCCGGTGCAAGTGTTGGTAAACTCTGCTTTCTTAAATCCAAGGTCACCACAATAGTCTACCAGAATGTTTTAGAGGACTTCATGATTCCTTCTGCTGAGGATCTGTATGGGAATGCAGATTTCATCTTCCAGCAGGACCTGGCCCCTGCCCATGCTGCCAGAAGCACCAAAACCTGGTTTGATGCCCATGCCAGTGCTTGACTGGCCAGCCAACTTGCCGGAACTAAACCACATTGAGAATCTATGGGGTATTCTCAAGAGGAAAATGAGGAGCACCAGACCCAACAAAAAGAGCTGACAGCAAGCATCAAGGAAATCTGGGCTTCCATAACTCCCAGGCAATGCCACAGGCTTATTGACTCAATGCCACTTCACATTGATGTAATGATTTAAGGCAAAGGGATTCCCAACCAAGTATTAAAGATTGGCATATCGTTTTGAAAGTACCATATTTTGATTAATTTCTTGGGATCCTAATTTCTCTTTTTTTTTTCCCTGCAAAAACTGAGTAGTGTGGGCTGATGTCTTCACAGTATTCTAATTTTTTGACATCCTGTTTTCGTGGGTTTCATGAGCTGGAAGCCCAAATTATGTAAAAATAAACAAATAAATACTTGAAATCATTTAAATTGTGGGCCTTGAATCTATCATCTATTAAAGATTAACTTTTTGAATGGAATTATGGAAGTTCAACAACTTTTCTCCATGATATGCAATTCTTTTAGAAAGGGTCTGTATATAGATATATAGCTTGTGTCTAGTGCAGACAAATGGTACTCTCATTAATGTCATAATGACGGAGTGTACCCAGAAAGAACGGACTGAAGGACAACAGACTCAGAATCATGAATAGAAGGGTGATTTATTTTACAGTGATAATAATAATAATAATAAACAGTCTTATATTCACTGGACCTGAAACTGGAAAACCCCTGGAAGGGAAAGGGGAGACGATTAGTGTCTTATTGGTTGGAGGATGGATGATATGATGGACGGGAAATAATAATATTCATCTTACTGTGAATGACAGGTGGTGTGACACATGGTGGAGATATAACGAATCCAAATTCCAGAAAGAGGTCGATGCACGGGTGGAGTGTGGAGGTCGAGACAGGAGGGGTAGTAGTTTGGCTGGAGTCCACGGGGAGAAACTTGAGCTCAGGTAGGTACAGATCAATCCACAGGTATGCATGAAATGTCCAGGACTGGAGGCGCAGGAAAAACCAAGGTCTGTCAGAAGTGAAGACACACAGGTAAGTATTTCAAAAATATATCTAAACACTGAAAGGCCAGGAGCACAACTATCCTCAACAAGATATGCTCCGGCACTGGATGAAGCAAGTCTGCAGCCTCATATAGTCATGAAGACTATAGGGAGATGCATAGGCGTCACAACCATTATATGTGAAGGGGACAAGTCCCCCCCACATTAAAAAAAAGTTCATTTGGACCCCCCCACTTTTACTATAAAACATTAGATCATGCGGCGCAGTTTATTTTTCTTCATGAACGAATCCATTCCATTTGATTAATAGGAGAATACTCAAACCACTAAAACTCCACTCCAGGTTTTCCTGGTTTCCTCCAACTCTCCACTGGTCCCTTCCTGCCTCCTGCCTCTGCAGAAAACGCGCACACGTAGAGGAGATGGAGACACCTCTGTGTTACTTGCTCGCCAGTTTAGCAGCTTAGTGCGGGCAGTTGTTGACCGGGGGTTGATCAGAAACATATATTCATGTTAGGAGGAGAGAAGTGGCACATTACATCTGTAGCATCTTAGCTTAGCAGTAACTGTGACGCTGTGAGACGCTGCAGGTGTAAGAGACGCTGCAGGTGTAAGAGACGCTGCAGGTGTAAGAGACGCTGCAGGTGTAAGAGACGCTGCAGGTGTAAGAGACGCTGTGTGTTCACGTGCATTATAGTTGAAACATCTTTAAAACCCCACACCTTATTGTCCTCAAGCTTCATGAGAATCATTATTTAGATGAGTAGTGTTGAACACAAGTAAAAAAGTTCAGTGGTGATGTTTTTTATTTCTCTATAAACACAAATAGTGCCGATCTGACGCTCTGTATTAAAGTTAAAATGTCTTTAAAATCCACAGATGAATTTACACAAACTTGGTGAGAAACATGTTTTAAATGTGTGGAATTGAAGGAAATCTAGGTGAAATGCTGCTTTTTTCTTCACTAGTGAACACATTTTTTTTACGTGCGCACACACGTGCACATGCGCGCACACGCGCTTGCACACCTACACACATCATTGTGCCCCCCCCCCACATTATGGATGCTTCTGACGCCCTTGGGGAGATGGCCAGCAGCTGAGCGTGATTAACTCTGCTGCAGGAGCTCAAGAGTCTGTGGAGAGAACACATTGAAAACTCCTACAATTAAAAATTGAAGTGTGTTGTCTATTTGAATAAACATATAGTTACTAAACCCAATAAATATTTGACCATAAACCTAAAACTTGAGACATCTGATATAACACTGTTTTTAACCATGAACGGCAGAAAACCAAAAAAATTCTAGGACCTAAAGTGGCTTAACCCATTTTTACATGTTGTTTATTGAGGACATCTTTTTTAGATATGTGAAGAATGCATTGCTTTTACAGGACTTTTATTTTACTGCACAAGTGTCATATTGACTACTGTTTTCATATGAAAAAGGGACTTTATACATTAAGCAGAGATAATTCTACAGTATAATATATTGGCTTATACACAGCAAAAGTCAAAAGAATTTCAGTCATACAATAAAAGTTCACCTCTGAAATATTCACAAGCACTATGCATAAAAACAGATTATTTAGGTTGTAGCTGTTTAGTCTAATGACCTCCTCGAAAGACAGTATAAGATAAAGATAAACCTTAAACAGATATGTTTTTTAGAAAAACAAAAACATGCTCTTTGATTTGAATGTATCTTATTTTACTATATTTCTTGACTGCCTTTTCTTTTTTAACATTTTCTGCATTACAACTTTTATTTCTTGAGTCTGTAGAACATAAATGATAGGATTCAACATGGGTGGAAGAACTGAGGCCAGAGACAAATTTATGATCCTGGCATTTGGGTGTATTTTTGCTTGCATAGTAAATGTGATTAATAATGGAATGAAATAGATCACCACTAATGACAGATGAGCTGTGCACGTTTTAAAGGCTTGGGCTCTTTCGTGAACTGAAGCTACTTTAGATAAAGCATAACCAATACAAAGATAACTAGACAGTATGACTGCAAAAGGAAGCCAAAAATAAGTAAAAGGCATCAAATAAGAAATGATTAAACTGGGGAAATTATCATTACACGCAAGTTTAAACATTTGGCCATGGTCACAGAAATAGCTGTTAATAATCACAGACTTACAGAAGGAAAGTCGGGTGAGAAGACCAACTGTAAATAAATATCCAATTATGGCAAAAATCCAGAAAAATGCAATCAAAGAAAACATGGATCTGTTGGTAACCTTTATTTGATAGTGCAAGGGAAACATGATGGCCACCATTCGATCATAAGATAGAACAACAAGACTGAGAGCCTGCATACTAAGAAATGTGTAGCAAAAAAAAAGAAATGTCATGCAATCATTGTATGAAACAATATAATTTTTGAATAAAAATATATCAAGCACTTTTGGTACTAGAGCAGTGTTACCTAACAGGTCGACCAGGGCCAGGTTGAAAACAGCAACATACTTAGGAGTTCTTAGATTATGATCCAGACATATTACAGCCATAACAGCTGTGTTTCCAAGCACTGAAAAAATGTAGATAAAAGACAGAAAAACATAGTAATACTTCATATATGGTAAGCCAATGAAACCACTTATTATAAAATAAGCAGGACGAACAAAGGTGATATTTCTTTCAAGAGCAGAGTTGAACAATTCCATTTTTAAATTTGTTATTAAAACTCCAAGCACAGTGAACACAGTCGATAAAGCTGAAAATGGTAACGCTGGTATGTCTTCGTTTGTCAACTTTTACTTTGTCATTTGTCTTCAGTTCAAAGTGGTATGGCAAGCTTTAAGTGTTTTCATATATATATATATATATATATTATCCTCTGCCCCCCAAGTCGAAGGTGGAGCAAAAATACTTCTGTGTTGTAGTGAATGCACTGGGGTGAGTAAAGGGGGTGGTGTGTGTGTAAGCATGTTTTTGTGTGCTTGTGTGTAGATGTTTGTTATGTGGTAAAGAAGAAAAAAGAATGATGAAGTGATGTGGTAACAGACAAATGTAAAGGAGAAAAAAAGGAAAAGAAAAAAAAAAATATTGCTGTGACACTGTTCACCTACACCAGTGCAAACACCTTACCGAGCTGTGCTTTACATTTGATTTACAATTACCAGTTCATTTACCTCCTATCTAAGCAGTGTTACAAGCTTTAGACAAGGATTATTCAACTAAATTGCTCAGGGGGGCACAGTTACTGAAAGCCAATAACTCAGGGGCCAGATATCCAGTAGTCATTATCATTAAGTAACTTTGTTTTATGGTTAAAAATCTAGTTTTATTTAAAAATGAACCCACTGGTGGATCGAACTTGTGTTAGGATTACGCGGGGAACCCAGATAGTTTGAGACCCAGAACGAGGCAGACACAGGGGAAATACAAAAGAACAGTGTTTATTATGTACAGTGAAATGTTTCACACGTTGGAACTCAGGACTCCTGGAAAGAGGGACGACAGCTTAGTGTTGGTCCAAGGGGAAGACCTGAGCAGTTGTTTGAAGGAGGTTCTTGTCCTTACAGTCCGAACCCGAAGGAGGGAAGCTGGTCCTTCAGTCCAGGGAGAGAGCAGCAGAGGGAAAACCAACAAGGGTCCAAGGGCACGAGGAAGGCTGGCAACTGGAGGCAAAAATGGCACGAGGAATACCTGACAGGCCGAGGGATCCAGATCAGGTCACGAGGAGAATCCAAAAACACGAGGAACCAGGAAACATGAGAGGTGATATGCTCCAGCGATGAGTCACACTGGGCTGCAGCCTTTTGTAGATGGAGAGTCTCATCAGGCTGATGACCGCCAGGTGTTGGTAATCAGCGGCCATCATCAAGGCAGGCTGCAGGCAGTGAGACCCTTACAGTACCCCCCCCCCCCCTCAAGAATCACCTCCAGGCAACCTGAGGCGCTTCTCGGGGTGGTCTCTAAAAAACGTGGAGATGAGGCTGGGGTCGAGGATGAAGGACCTGGGGATCCATGACCTCTCCTCAGGACCGTACCCCTCCCAATCGACCAGGTACTGGAATCCCCAACCTCTGCGTCGCACGTCCAAGATGGATCGGACGGTGAACGCAGGGTGGTTGTCCATCAGGCGGGGCGGCGGAGGGAGGTCAGAAGGGGGACACAAGGGACTGAGGGAAACGGGCTTTACCTGGGAGACGTGGAAGGTAGGGTGAATCCTCATGGCCCTGGGGAGTTGGAGGCGGACCGCAGAGGGGTTGATGATGCGGGTAATGGAGAAGGGACCAATGAAGCGGGGGGCCAGTTTACGGGGGGTGTCCCGCAGTTTGATGTCCCTAGTGGACAACCAAACCTGCTGGCCGACCTGGTAGGCGGGTGTCTCTGAACGGTGGCAGTCAGCGAACCGTTTAGCCTGGGCTGCGGTCCTAAGGAGGGCCGCCTTGGCCTGGCGCCAGATACGACGACACCGCCGAAAGTGATGCTGAACGGATGGGACCGAACAGTCGGACTCAGAGCTGGGAAACAGAGGAGGAAGGTAGCCGAGGGAAGCTTCAAAGGGGGACATACTGGTGGCAGAGGAACGGAGAGAGTTGTGGGCATACTCCACCCAAACCAAGTGTTGGCTCCAGGAGGACGGGTTGGACTCGACCAGGCAACGCAGGGTGGACTCCAACTCCTGATTGCAGCGCTCAGCTTGTCCGTTAGCCTGAGGATGGTAGCCGGAGGTGAGGCTAACGGACGCCCCAAGCGACTTGCAAAAGGAGTGCCAGACCTGAGAGACAAACTGCGGGCCTCGGTCGGAGACGATGTCAGAAGGGATCCCATGGAGCCTGAAAATGTGGAGAGTGAGAAGGTGAGCAGTCTCAAGGGCAGAGGGGAGCTTAGGGAGGGGGACAAAGTGAGCGGCCTTAGAAAAACGGTCAACAACCGTGAGGATGGTGGTGTTGCCGTCAGATGGGGGAAGGCCGGTCACAAAGTCGAGGGCGATGTGGGACCAAGGGCGACTAGGGGTCGGGAGGGGAAGCAGAGGGCCAGCCGGAGGTTGTGTACCAGACTTGTTTCTGGCACAGACGGGACAGGCCGAAACAAAGTCCTTGATGTCTCTGGACATGGAGGGCCACCAGAAATGGGTCTTTGTGAGAGCGAGCATGCGGTTGACTCCGGGGTGGCAGGAAAGCTTTTTAGAGTGGAGCCACTGGAGTACTTGGGACCGCACGCTGGAGGGAACAAATAGGGTACCGGGGGGACCACCACCAGGATCAGGTTCAGAGAGGAGGGCCTGCTGAACGGTGGCGGTGATGGGCCAGGAGAGGGAACCGACAATACAAGTGGGAGGAACAATACTATTAGAAACCTCAGGCGAGTCAGGAGGGGCAAACTGCCTGGACAGGGTATCAGGTTTAATGTTCTTAGAGCCTGGGCGAAAAGTTAGGACGAAATTGAAACGGTTAAAGAAAAGCGACCAACAGGCCTGACGGGGGGTCAGACGCTTGGTGTTCCTAAGATAGGTCAAGTTCTTATGGTCCATCCAAATCAAAAAAGGGGTCTCAGTGCCTTCCAACCAGTGCCGCCATTCCTCTAATGCGAGCTTGACCGCCAACAGCTCGCGGTTGCCCACGTCGTAATTGCGTTCCACTTGGGAGAGACGTCGAGAAAAGAAGGCACAGGGATGAACCTTATTGTCCAAAGGTGATCGCTGGGAAAGGACCGCCCCTACCCCAGTGTCGGAGGCGTCCACCTCCAGCATGAACTGGTATGTAGGGTCTGGGTGGCAGAGGATGGGCGCGGAGGAAAAGAGAGACTTGAGTTTCTTAAAGGCGGCCTCGGCCTCTGGGGTCCAGTGAAAGGCTCGGGCGGTGGAAGTGAGCTGAGACAGGGGGGCGGCGACACGACTATAATTCTTTATAAATCGCCTGTAGAAATTTGCGAAGCCCAGGAAACGTTGTAACTGGTTCCTGGACTTGGGGGTCGGCCAGTCGACTACCGCCCTGGTTTTCTCTGGGTCGGTTCGACAACGTCCGCCCTCAAAGATAAAACCTAAGAATGAGACGGTGGAGGTATTAAACTCACACTTCTCCGCCTTAACGAATAACTGATTCTCCAGCAGCCGCTGAAGAACCGTGCGGACGTGAGCCGTGTGTTGAGAGGGGTCACGGGAAAAAATAAGGATGTCATCGAGATAAACGAAAACAAAATTACCAATAAGGTCGCGCAGGACGTCAATGACGAGCGCCTGAAAAACTGCGGGGGCATTGGTCAACCCAAAAGGCATAACTAAATACTCAAAATGACCCAAAAGAGTGCGAAAAGCTGTTTTCCACTCGTCGCCCTCCTTAATACGAACGAGGTGGTAAGCGTTTCTTAGATCGAGTTTAGTAAAACAAGAAGCCGACTGTAACTGTTCCTGTAGTGAGTCAATGAGGGGGAGCGGATACTTATTTTTAACAGTTATGTTGTTTAAGCCGCGGTAATCGATACATGGCCTGAGAGTTTTATCTTTTTTAGAAACGAAGAAAAAACCGGCTCCCAAAGGGGAGGTCGAGGGTCTAATAATACCAGAGGCAAGGGATTCGTTAATGTAATCGGACATAGATTCCCTTTCGGGACCAGGAAGATTATAAAGTCTACTTGACGGCAAGGGGGCGCCAGGTAATAAGTCAATCGAGCAGTCATAGGGACAGTGAGGAGGAAGAGACAAGACACGTTGCTTGCTAAAGACGGCCGCCAGGTTGCGGTATTCAGCAGGAACAGAGGTGAGGTCGATCTCCTCTAGAGGAGGCGCGTTCTGAGGGAACTCTTTAATGGCGGAACGAAGACAGTTACTGAGCCATTTGTCGCTCCATTTGTCAATGCAGCCGCGCTCCCAATTAATAACTGGGTTATGGTTTCGAAGCCAGGGGAAACCTAAAATTATTTGGGGCGTATGGGAATTAAACACGAAGAAATCAGTCATTTCATGGTGATTTCCTGAGATTACGACATGCAATTCGGTAGTCTTCAGGTTTATACGAGTCAAAGTGTCTCCGGTTAAGCCGGCGACAGAAATTGAAGGAATCTCGCGAGTGGGCAGAGAATATTCTTTAACTAAATCGGCACCCGAGTCGATAAGAGCAGAAAACGAAAAGTGACGGTCAGGTGTCTGAATGACCATGGGAAGTAATAGTTTGAATGGGGAGGTTAACGCAGAAGTTCCCACCAGTAACTCCCACTTTACTGGTGGAAGTTCTCGTTTCCCTCGAAATGGGCAATGGGACAGAAAATGACCGGGGTTACCACAATAAATGCAGAGACGGGCAGATACACGCCGCTGTCTCTCTGCAGGAGTCAGCCGTGCGCGCCCCACCTGCATGGGCTCGGGGGAGCGATCCCGCGGGGGAAAAGAAGATGATTGGTTGAAACCAGGAAGCATGGAAGACTGGGAGTTGTAGTTCAAGGGGGACTGCTTGGGTGAAGCGGACTCTTGGTGAGGGGTCGTGAACCCAGAGGTGGGAGGATTCTGGGAAACGTAGTACAAAGGTGCAGACTTGGGCTCACCTGGAGAAGCCGGAAACCCGGAAGTCGAGGGTCGATCGGAATTGTAGTTTGCCTCTCTCCTCCTTTCCCGGAAACAGTCATCGATGGAGATGGCAAGGTCTATTAGCTTGTCGAAAGTCTTGGGCTCGTCTCGCGTGGCCATCTGGTCTTTGAGAAAATCAGATAGTGCGTTTAA